CCTAGTATGTGATCAGAACGCATCTCCAAGGTTGTTACCCTTAAGACACGCTTAGTAAGGTCATAGCATAGCCCAGGGCCATTTCCAGTAGGATACGAAGCAGCTCGGTCTTGGAATCTTCGAAGTTTAGCGGTCAGGAATGCAACGGGTCAGCCGGCGAGGCTTGCACCCTGCTGCTGCTGCTGCTGCTTCTACTCGAGATTCCGAACCTATCCCGTTGTGATAAACCTTGCTATAGATTGCTATCCTAAAGCCTCAACTGCAATAATTCCGAGCGCCTCCGACAAGGTCCCAACAGTATGGTACGGCTTCCGACGGATAGAACTTCCAAGCTGGACTGGGTGGATTACTCATCCACAATTTCAAGGAAATATAAGCGGCATAGAGATATAGCTAAGCCGTGCACTCAGTTATCATATTGATGTCTTGCTGACATACATCAATGAGGTCGACGGTGATGCGTCTTGCATGCGTTAGCTCGGAATCTCGGGGTTCGTCATTGGGGGTCTGATACGCAAGCATGGATGCACTATACATTCAGCTTAAGACCGTCAGCACATGGAGTGACCTTCTGCTGACCGACAGACTCTACATTGACATCATAGGCGCCATTCAATGGAATTGGTGCCAACCGAATGCGAACATCTCGGCTCCCGCCTCCGATACGAACTCCCCTCCTTCATGAAAGATTCTTATGGCGCCCGTAAGGTGTCTGGCGGATCTGCGTGCTTAACCTGCATCTAAATGCACGCGATATCTTGGTTGTCCGGATGTCCGATTGTTGAATCTTAGCTACAAGCCACTATCGCTCAAGATCGGCGTTAACCACAAGCCAATCAGACATAACCCGTCGTTATAGAGACAAATAATTGAAGAGAGTATACCTGATATTAACTTAGCCAGAATGTAAGAAGCCTTGGGCCGCGAAGGTAACAAGTTCAACTTCCAATGACGGTATAGATGTATGTGCCGAGTTTCCGAATCAGAAGGCTATGCTTCTTAAACATAACACAGGAAATGTTTTGCGAGCTATTGTCTACCTCCTAGGATAGCAGGGACTCTAAGGAAAGGCGCACCGCCAAGTAATAAAGGGGTCTCATAAAACCAAGATCGTATAGTCATGAATTAATCCCGGCCGCATCTACCCGTCCGCCGCACAACATGTCCAAAACAGTTCGACGCTCAGTCCTCGAAGAACTTGACAATCTGCTGCAAATCCATGACGCCCAAGCCGTGTCTCGGGTAGCAGATATACACCTGCTCGCCAAGCACGCCAAACTTCTCCCTAAACTGCGCTTTACCGCCCAGTCGGAGGTTCCTCACAATCACATCGTACGTATTGGCCAGAAACTTTGCCCTTACGCCACTGAGCTGCGAGCGGGGTGTCAGTCGCTCCGAGACGCCAGCTCCAAAAGTCACGGGCCCGGTTAGAGCCGACAGCGCCGTCTCGACGAGGACCTCAATGGTCCCGTTGGGCGCGCTCGGAAAATCAAAGGCCCATTTGACTTGCCAGCCATGCCTCGGCGCAAGCTGAGCAAGCACAACTAGCGCGAGGACCTTGCCCTCTTTCTCAGCGGCGAAATAACGCCTGTGCTCGCGATCAACCCACGGCCGCACCTCGGTGAGGTGGACCTGCTTGCCCTTCCCCTGGCGACTAGCCTGCCATTCTTGAATCGCTTCGTCGGCCCGTCTCATAAAGTCCTCATCCGGCTCAACGACCTCATGAATCAATATTCCCTCGCGTTTCGCTCGACGAGCGCCGCGTTGATTTTCCGAGCCATGGTGATTATCTGCGTCGACACGCTGCTCTTCGGCGCAAGTAAGCGTTCGCCATCCCATCTTCTCGCCTAGCACCTGCTGCACCTCCTCCGACACGAGCATCCAGACGGGGGTGAGGCGCAGGTCCTTGCGCACGTAGTCGACGAAGGCCGGAATGACGTCGCGATACTGCCTCATATCGCACAGCCGGTCTCCGGCGATCATGGCGAACTTGTGGTTTTGTCTGACAAAGCCCACTGCTGCCCCAGTCGGATGCCGCCAGATCTCGAATCGGTCGTCGAGCCACGACGTATTCGTCGCGTCGCCATAGTTGGCTATAAGCTTCCCGATAGAGGGGTATTCGTCGCTCAGATTCCGCGGTGCCATGGTGTCGGCATCGGGATGAGGCAGGCTTGGTGGGCGAGCTGGGAAGGACTTGGGGTCTCGCGGAAATAGTGAGGCGTTCCTCACGTCGTCAAGTTCGAGCATCAACATCACTATACGTTCCAAGCCTAAGCCAGCTCCGCCATGCGGTGGTGCACCAAGATCGAATGCGGACAGGTACTCTTCCATCCCCTGCTCGCTGATCTTCGACGCTGCCATGCTCTCGCGAAGTTCCTTAGCGTCGTGGATGCGCTGTCCACCCGTACATATTTCCTGGCCGCGCAGAAAGATATCAAATGAATTTGTGTATTTAGGGTCCTCGGCCTTATGGGTATAGAACGGCCTAGCATTAGTTGGGAACCTATCCAGGATGTAATAGTCGGTTTGGTACTTTTCCTTGACGAGTTCGCCAAGGCGCATCTCATCGCGGGTAGACAAGTCTTCCTCCTCGACCTCTCTGCCGTCTTGCCGGAGCATCTGAATACCTCTAGAAAAGGGGATGATCGGAGTCTCGTCTAACCAGACGAGGTCCTTGCTAGGCCATCGCTCCCGAACGTTCTGGAGCTCAGGCATAGACTGCACTGCAGCAAATATGGTTTTGAGGACTTTGTCTATAGTCTCGATGAGTTCTTTATAGGACACTCTGAGGGACATTTCTATATCAAGTCCCGTGTACTCAGTCAAGTGTCTATGCGTGTTAGAATTCTCTGCACGGAATACAGGACCGATCTTCAAGACTGGCGTTAGTATATGATCAAGTTGCTTGATACATGCCGATCGATACTCACCTCGTAGGCTTTCTTAAAATCGGCGGATATGACCATTTGCTTTGCTAGTTGCGGGCTCTGCGCCAGGAATGCCGTCCGGCCGAAGTATTGCACCCGGAAGACCTCCGAACCGCTTTCGGTCGCAGCAGGTTGTAATTTGGGCGTTTGGATTTCTAAGAAATCCATTTCATCCAACGCCTCCCGGAACTTCCGAACAATCATGGAGCGAACTCGGAAAATAGCCTGGTTGCTGGGGTGGCGGAGATCTACTACACGACCTGAGAGACGCTGACGGAGTGCGCCAGGAGGTTCATAGTTGTCAAAAGGTAGCCCGTTTGCCGGATTAACGAGATGAAGGGAGTATACCAGGACTTCCACGTCCTGAAATGTTGCAGATGTGACCGGATGCTGTGGCTTCTGGAGGGTGCCGGTGACGTGAACAAGCGATTCAGGGTGCAGTCTCTGCACCCATCGTATCATGTGTCGCGAGGCATTTGACAATACACCTTGGATAGAGTCTGTCTGGTTGCGAAATAACAAGAAGTCTAGCGCTTGAGACATCCGCCTTTGGGTATGGATTCTAGCGCGGAAGTTGACTTCGGAGCCTACTGGTAGGGCAACGACTTGTTTGAGGGAACATAGCTCATGAGGGTGGACATTGTCGCCATAACGCGCTTTTGTCTCTTCATCTTCTTCCTTCTCTGCCTCTTCATCTTCTCGTTGCCGACGTTGTTCTATCTCCTCTCGTTCCTGTTCGCGATGCTCTGCCTTCTCGAGTTTCTCCTGTTGCTTAGCCTCACTACGTTGTGTGGACTTCCCCTTTTCTGGTGTACCAGACTCTTCGTGCTTGCCCGATCGAAAAGGAGACGTAATAACATTGGCGATATGAGAAATATCGTGACTTAGTGGGCCCGGCATGATGGAACCTCTAGATAGCCGTGAACTCAATTCTTACGGTTGTGGATATTTTCTGGAGGCTTGATAATAGTAACGGTGATAACTTAAAATGATCCATTTCTAGTAATAAAGGATCTGGCATCACGCTTCCTGTTTGCTTCCCTGATACAGGGACGTGAATGTAAAACCTGCATCTGTGTCGTCATATTCGCGTAAAAAATCATTGATCCTGGTGGTTATGGTGTATTGGCACACTTCCCAACCCCATTCTTACCAAGTAAACGATCGCATATGCAGGGCGATCTAGATATCATGATGAGCATTCCATTTGCCCCGCGGGGTTTTCTATTCGGTCATTAATATAGCCCTACCACATATAATTCGTCGCCCATCAGGTTTCACCACCTGCTTCCTGGACAGGGGAAATCAATTCGTTTACAGATTCTGTATGGAATATTTAGTAATGCTAGTAATTGCGCATCATCTACTTCTATTAGTCTGTTTGATGTCGATAGGGCTTAAACGAATTCGGCAGACGGTAGCCCGCGATGGCTCCTATTCCAGTACGGATCAGCCTCCGCCCTGGCTAAGACTCTTTGGTTCATGTGGACGTTTGGGCAATGGCAAGCCGACCACAAGATAAGTTCCAACGTATGGGCCGTAGGCTACGTAGAATTTGGCCGTCTCGAGTACCTTGACAAGTCTGTTTATCCTATCTGTACCTTATGATTTCGCGACGTGAGCGAGATAATATACGATTCTCTCCGGGTCTTATGCCTAATAACATGGGAGAAGCATGGGCGAGCTAAATTTTGCCTATAGAGGTAAAAGAGTGTTGAAATTGAATAAGTCACAGAGATAGAGATGAATAGAGTGGTTTTAGGGGGAATACTAATAGTGAATATCCTTATCGTCTTCGGCTCTTCCGATGTTACACAGGTTTAACAAGTTCGCATCAGACACCCAACACTTGATATTCATACCACTCTACAGCATTACAGCATGAATTTTTACTTTCAGGTGGTATGAATATAAGATGCTGAAAATATGCAAAGTAGGAAAAATGAATGAGAAGAATGAGATTACTAAAAGGAGGCTAAGATGTACCCAATCTTGGAGCTAGGAAGGAGCGACTTGCATTACGTAATACAGTGCATAAGCCTTATATATTCTATTAAAAACCCGTTTAGCATCGGCCGCGTAGTGTAGTGGTTAGCACGCAGGATTTTGACCATAAAATTCCTGAGACCTGAGTTCAATCCTCGGCGGGGCCTTTCTCACTAACGAAACTTTTGTTTTTGCAAATTTTCTCAATTTTGTCTAGCATCTCATCATACGTTCAAGCATCGTATAACATTCGAACGTGCACGTTTCCTTAGCATGTTGGGTTACCTGAACTATTCTTGCGCTTTTTCTCATGTTAAGCTATGGTAGTTTCTTCAACTTCATATTTTGAGCAGTGACGCGGTACGAACAAGCCGCTAGGATGTACGTGGCCTGGGTTTAAGGAACATTGGATTTGCGAAATACGGACGGGAAGCCTGTTATTTCGAGATAGACACCTCTTCCAGTCCGTTAAACCGATAACAATGTTAGAATATTGAAACTTTGGAACTAACAATCTTCAGGTCTAGAGGTAACCGGCGTAAACTGAACCGAGCCGTTCCGATATTGGAGATGGCGGCGGGGCAGCACATAATAGCTTTGGCGGGGTTAAGCACATCATTGCGCTGTATCGGCATTGGACAGGACAAAAGAGCTGTATCTGTAGATACTATTGTAACCGCTTCACCTCATAGAAACTTGTACATTTTCATTCCCTTCAAAAGTCAATCCTTATGCCAATACTGCGAACCCGTTTTCCCACATTGCGGCACTTCGTTCTCTCATCGCGTCCTGCTCTACAACCACTTTCTAGCCACATCGACCTTATCAAGAGAAGAGCCATGTCTTCCGCCGTAGCCAAGCGCCTCGAGGGCAAGACCATTGTGATCACGGGGGCGTCTTCTGGGATAGGAAAAAGCACAGCCTTCGAGTTTGCGCGGACATCATCGAAGAACCTGAAGCTAGTCTTGACAGCGAGGCGTATCGAGACGCTGCAGCAGATCGCTCAGGACATCGTGAAGGAAGTCGGCGATGGCGTGAAAGTCTTGCCCGTAAAACTGGACGTGAGCAATCCCGACGAAGTCCGCAGCTTTGTTGGCAACTTGCCCGAGGAATTCCGAAATATCGATGTGCTGGTGAACAATGCGTAAGTCTACCTGTTTCTATGTTCAATACAGACAAACAATGAGACGAGTTATACGTTATACGCAAACTCCATATGGAATCAGACTCGCCAACTAACAACCCGGCAAGCGGCCTCGTCAAAGGCGTAGCGCGCGCGCCCGAGATCGCCGAAGCCGACATGAACGTCATGTTCGCGACCAACGTGACGGGCCTGATCAACATGACGCAGGCCGTGCTGCCCATCTACCTGGCGCGGCCCGACGGCGGCCACGGCGACATCATAAACATCGGCAGCATCGCCGGCCGCGAGCCTTACGCCGGCGGCAGCATCTACTGCGCCACTAAGGCCGCCATTCGCAGCTTCACCGAGTCCCTGCGTAAGGAGCTTATCGCCTCGCGTGTTCGCGTGATCGAGATCGATCCTGGCCAGGTTGAGACTGTGAGTACCTAACCTAGCTTTCCCCAAGGGGACGTATGCTTGCGTACGTGCATAAATACGTCTATGGCGGGCTGACGGTTTTCTAGGAATTCTCCGTTGTTCGGTTCTACGGGGACAAGGCCAAAGCAGACGCTGTCTACGCGTGAGTGACCCTATTTGCTTCGATGATTCCAATGGTACTGATACTCATGACAGTGGTTGCGATCCTCTAACACCCGACGATATTGCCGAGGTGGTCGTATTTGCTGCTGGAAGAAGAGAAAACGTTGTCATAGCTGACACTCTCATCTACCCTAACCACCAAGCCGGTGCCGGCACTTTACACAGGAGATCTTAAGAGGCTAGATGCATAGGAAAATCCATGTACTTTATTCTATAGAACTCGATGTATAAAGTCTAAGAGGTCGACCCGAGACGAGACGGACCATGCTTCTGTTCTTAAAAATTTGACCCAGATTTCTTACCTTCGTGTCTGGAACTATCATATTTTACGATGGTTTACGAGGGACGATGAACGGCCATAAGGGCCACCTTACTACACTATACAATAATCTATCACTATTATCAGTTAGCTAAAGTCGACTACTGCCTCTGAAGTAAGATATAGTTGGTAAAAACGTGTTCAGATAAACCAGTTTACTCATTCACGCAAGTCGGCCCTCTCACTCCATGCCTCAAGACGAAACACAAGAGATCAAAGGCACTGAAGACGACATAATATCTCTGACAAGCCAAAGCAAGAAGCCAGGTTGCCAAGAGACAACTCCACAACCGATCATCGTATACCACAAGAGTGGTAACTACGGTGCGGGAGGGCGGCTCGACCCGCTGTGAGATAGTTGAATGGATAAACAGTTTTCATCATGAAAGGAGTACTTGTGGAATGAAAAGTATTCCGACTTACGTTGATTGTATATGGGATCGTTGGCTACCTCGTAAATGAGCTTAGGATAACTGCACACCTCGTAAACGTTAGCTTGTGTTGACTAGTCTCGACAACTCAAAGCAACAGGAAAGTAGATAATATGATCAGAAAATAAGTTTTTGGTATATGGTTATCTTCACAGCGCTTCAGAAGCAGAACTGAAAAATAAAGGTTTTCATCATGGACAAGAAAAACGATAGAAATACGAGTATACTCACATAAACCGGGTATCGCTGATAGCTGTAGCCGTCAGGCATCAGAAAGTTTTAGTATACTACCTAGATAGACTGTTAGTCGAAGAGCTAGATACCATAGTAATAATAGCGATAGCCGGTTCATGCTTCAGATGGTAGTGCATGTTTGTTCAGTCCGCTCAGGTAATCGCGAAGAACAGTGGATTGGAATTCATCAGTAGCAAGGTAACCTGATAGGAAAACCAAGTCTGCCGGGGATGTGTAGAAAGAGAAGAACATACCATAATGTCAACCTGAGTCAGGTTGGGCATTTGACTTGCAGTCAACCAAGGTGTTTTCAATGCACCAGACAGTGGATAATTGAACGTCAACACTACCGACTAATATTTCAGGGACTTGAGCGGAGACCCGAAGTTAGAAAAGTCTGCATCCATATTGCGAAAGATCATATGCGCTTGTTGGATGCAGTGGTTGAGCTTCCAGTCTCTGCTTTGTGTTTTTTGAGAGAGTGTGAAGGAAGAAATTTTGATTTCAAGGTTGCAGTCGAGAAAATCTGCGGAAGGCGGGAAATTCGCGGCCGGCATGGTCTGTGCTGAAGCTAAGGTGCAGGGATTCTAGTGGGTATGGTGGGGCAGTCTTGCTGCTTGGAATTTTCAATGTTCTAATTGTTCGGCTTCAACGAGATCAAGCGTGACGTCCCAGCATTAAGCAATCTCAAGACCGCCAAACTCAACAGCCATGGCTGATCGGAGGCGCATAAATGGTCCTGTTGGCCAAACGGCTCCTCCCGTGTATGATCGCCCTCAAGGAAAAAGAGTAGCGGGACCTTCGGGAGAGACTACTATTCGAAAGATCTGTAAGTTGCTGCTCAATTCGTAGACGCATTGGTCACTGATTTGGATCTCATGTAGTCCTAAAGACTGGAGTCACCCCTTCGGCTTCCGGATCTGCATATCTGGAAGTCGAAGACCCGTATGCGAACCGTCCTGCGGGCACGAGCTTGAAGCTCACCTGTACCGTCCATGGTCCTCGAGCCCTTCCGCGATCAGCACCTTTCTCTCCTCATATCATCCTCTCGACCCACGTTAAATATGCGCCTTTCGCGACAAGGCAAAGACGAGGCTATCTACGCGACTCGAGCGAGAGGGATCTGGGTGTGCATTTGGAAACAGCATTACGGGGCGCAATTATCGCAGATCGCTGGCCCAAGAGTGGTGTTGACATCATTGTCACTATAATCGAAGGCGATCAGAACCGCGACTCTCCGGAATACGACAAAGACGAAGGCTGGGATATGATGAATGTCCTCAGTGGCTGTATAACAGTTGCCTCGGCTGCTATTGCGGATGCCGGTATTGACTGCGTGGACACCGTCTCAGGAGGCGTTGCGGCTATGGTCGCTAAAGACGCAAAGAGCGAGCCAGTCATTGTCCTAGACCCAGATGTTGCCGCATATCACAAGGTATTTGCAGCATGCTGTGTTGCCTATTTACCTACAAGGGACGAGGTCACCAATATCTGGTTCAAGGGTCAGCTACCGGCCGCAGACGCTATTATCTACAACAAGATGGTTGAGAGAAGCATTGTAGCATGTCGGAGCGCGAATCGCGTTCTCGTCCAGGCTCTCGACGAAACGGTTCGTCAAGTTCAAAATCCGTCTTGAGCTCAGCGATCCGCAATACCGAGCATTTATTACACCAACTGGTGACTCTCGTGGTACTAGTGGAAATCCAAACTGTAACCCAGCTAGGCAGCAAAGGAAGCGAGTAGGGATTATGACTTGCTAAAACGTGAGTCACTACGCTGAAGCCTTGATTCTCATGGCATTTGCATACATGTCCAGAATACGTCGGACATCATAAAAATGCACGAGATTCGGCAAACTAATCGTGTCGCATGTACGAAAAGGGTATACCGTGACAATAAACGGATAGCAGAAGGCAGAGAAGGCGTTAGACCTGGACCGCCAGCAGTATTTATAGTGAAGTTTCGATTGGTGGATTGCTGTCTTGACCTAGGGGTGATCATTATGAGCAACCGAGGTCACCGAACGCGTTCGCGTTCCGAGGCATGCTAAGAATAGAGCAAAGAGCTTGCTATCTTAGCCTAAAACACGACGGCGCGTCATAGCTAGTCGCAACCTTGACCTTGCGAGATATGCGAACAGACAATAGACTTATTCTAGAGCACCACAAGCAAATGTGATGAATGATTGCCCAAGTCGATGCAAGTTTAATTGAGAATGTTGCCTCTTGATTTAAATATGGTATGATATTTACCTAAGCTAGAGGTAAGGGATTATCGACGGTCCTAAGATAAGCTATTACATGTTGGCTGCCAGGCTGCCAAGCGACCCCAGGTCAGCAAGGAAGGTCGGGTGGGTACATACCTCGATGGCGTGCCTTCAGTGACGGTAGCTGAACCTTATCAGAAGTCTGGAACTCTCAGACACCGACATCATCTCAGGCTATCTCAGGTACTCATAAA